CCAGTCTGCATGTTTCAACCCTCATCTTGCCTGCTCTGGCAAACAGTGGAATGCCCCCTGAAGCCATGAGTGCTTCAGATGGAAATCACTAACCCACTGCGAAACCACCAGGAGACGGGGCCCGCCGTGCACCAGGGCAGCCCTTCCCACTGCACCGCACACCAGAGAAGCTGGCTTGGCTGTCTTTCTTCTGCTTGGACTCGTTCCAGCCCCTCCAACGGAAGATGATGGAATTCCAACTGTGAAACAGAAGGGAAGCAATTCTGGCCAGCACTGCCGGCGGCCTTCGGAACCTCACACATTTGCATGGAGGAGAGAGCCCTACTTAGATGCAGCTTCTTTGGTGGGAGAAACTGTGCCAAGCAAGCGTCTCCCTTTCATGAAACGTTTAAAGGCACAGCGGCCCAAATGACCAGAACGGGGCTTGTTGCAAGGCTTCTTTGGTCGGAGAAGGGACAGGATGTAGGGTAGACCAAAACAGAAAAACTTAAGGAACAAAAAGTGGAATTCAGTGCCAATTGCCCAGTTCCCTTTCACAAACCCCACCAGTGCCTGCAGCACTCGTCAAGTCCCCTCTCTCTCCTTTTCCGTTTGTGTTGCTGCAGCTGCTGCCCCTTCCTTTCCCCACATTTTCCTTCTCCAGTGGCTGACCCAGATTCGTGATCATGGAGACCATGCAGTGCTCACAGATCCAACTTTAATTATTCCCCCAATATGCATTATGCATCAATAAGAGATGGGGGGGCTGTTGGCTGAAGGAGCGCACCCCCCACATATAAAACCAGCACAATTGATGTTTGTTTCCATGGTTAAAGCACCCCCCCCACCACTCACTCACTGTTACAGGGCTAGAATGGGGGGGGATCCGAATGATTTCACTATGTTTCTCCCAAATCTCGAAGCCAAACAAAACCTTCCCTGCGGGGAATGACACAACGTGTGTTTGCTGTAACAAAAAGACTTCATTGCACAGCTTTGTAAGTATGAGGTCAGCAGTTCTGCCCTGCTAAATACCCCAGTTCTGGGGCACACATGATGCCTTTCACCTGAGAAGAACAAGCCACTAAAGCCACACCTGCTCTGGTGGGAAAGGAGCAGGCTCGGGACAGTGCAGGCGGACGGTCCAGGTCTAGGACTGCCCAGGTGTTGAGGGCCTTCTCACCTGCCCACTGCCCTGGGCAGTTCAGCTGGCAAGTCCAAGGAAGGGGCCTTGTCAGTAGCGGCCTTGTGAATCGGGAACTGGGTTTCATACTCCGTGTTGGTGGGTACGATGACGGCAGTGATTAAACTTTAGATGCCACCTTATCTATCAGCAGCAGTGTCAAAGGCTGGGGCTGTTCTGTATCCTTTCTGGCTGTGGAAGGAGATAATATTTGGGTGCAGAAGGCTGAGCTCATGGATGCCTTCAATTCAGCAAAGATGGTTAGAATGCAAGAACTGCCGTTCTCCGGCGGCATCAGTGGGCTTTGCCTATGTGTTGTCCAATGAACCCAGAAGCCTGAGTGGAATCCTGGGCCCAGGAAAAAATCCAGCCCAATGCCAATGCCAATGCCTAGGCATTCCTGATACAGCCAAGCCCCTTATCATTTCCATGGCCACCAGATTTTGGGTGGTTTTCCAGCTCGTGTGCAGCACTCCCCACTCTGAAAGGATGGAGGCTCTCTCTGAAGGCTAACTTGAGGGCATAAGAGCTGTAACCCCATTTTTTATTTTGGCCCTTCTCCCTTTTGCCTCCCCCACCCCTTCCCCCAGCAATGGCCCCAGCTATGGCCCGAACCTGAGCCCTAAGAATCAGCCAGATGGTTGTTAGTCTGGTGAGAAGGCACCCTTGCAACACGGAGAATAAATACTATCACTGTGCCAAACTGCCAGATGTTGGGACATGAAATTATCCACGCAGGTCATTCTGCCTTCACTGCAGAGACTGTTTAGGAGCAAATTCAGGTTTTCAGGAAAGAAGAAACTCCCCTGACCACCTTCCTGCCTGTTCACGTGGCTGTCGGCACCGCGCTCCAAGTCCAGCCAAGTGAACAGCCGCTCTGCTCCCTGAAGTGCTGCAGCGGAAAAGGAAAGCGAGGGTGGGAGACGCACAGCAAAAGTGCAAGCTGGCTGGCAATCGAAGCCAATCGACTCGAAAGCAAGGTGGAGCCACCACCGCCAGCGCCACTGCCCAGGGAACAGAGAGGCCTCCGCGCCCGTCCTTCAGCGCTGCTCTCCCGCACCCGCCCGTTCTGCCTAAAAGCAGGGTGGGCCACCCCTGCACGTGGCCGGGCTCCTGCACCGGCGGCCTCAAGAGCAGAGCAGGCAAGGCTGAGCATGCAGAGGCATCGCAGGAGGGCAGGAGGGCCCCACTGGGCCGGGCCGGGCCGGGCCGGGCCAGCCAGGGGCTCACGGGGAACCCGCCACTGACCGGGGTGCCACACCTCCCCTCAGCCCATGCTCCCCGGCAGCTGATGCACTTGGGAGCACAGGGCAGCTCACGCCACACCTGGCGACTGAGCCCACCTGCCACGGCCGCCATAACCCTCGCCTCCCGACATTGCTCTCCTCTGGCTTTCTGGGGCTCTGCACCACCGTGGCGAGATGGCCTGTTCACTCCTCCAATCTTGCTCATTATTGCCCAGGTCCCGTATGCACAGAAACATCGACACAGGCGACTTTCGCGCAGGCTCGTGCCCCTTTTCCTCCCCTTCTTCTGCCCCCGACGTGCTTGGGCGGATGCAAGGCTGGCCGCCTCGCCTGCTTGCCTCCTGCCTGGGGATGTCTCTTGCAACACCCCCTTTGCCTGGCCACGGCCCCTGCTGCTGCCCTCCCACTTCCCCTGACCGGTGCAAGACCAAGGCCACACGGGCGGCTCCTTTCTGCTCCACGCAATGAGGGGAGCCCAGCCAGCCACCACTGGAGCCCCCAGACATCTCGCCTGAGAAGACCTGCCAGCTCTGTCAGCACACTCCCATGTCCTGTGTGGCTTACTGGCAAGGTAGCTAGTTAATGAAATCATTAGGAATTAATTAGGATTCCTTCCCTAGATGGGAGCCACTGGGTGCTCGAGCTGAGTCTCTCAGAAGACCTGCTTGCAAATCTGCCGCCCCAAGCAGTCCAGCAGCGGGGGGTGGGGGCTTAGCAAAGGGAAAGGGGGGCTTTGAACCACAGGTGCTGAGGGGTGGCAAGAGTGGAGCCAGAGTGCAAAACGAGGCCTGGGGAGTGTAGTGAAGCAGCTCGGGCACAGGAGAGGCGTCCAGGCTCAGGGAGTGGCTGCGCAAAGGCTGGGGAGCCCTAAATAATCTGTGGGTGGGGAAGGGGGCGTGATCTTCTGGGGGAGCCCAGGCCGGACACACCTGGCCCACGGCCCTGAAGTCTCGCACCGCTGCAGTCCACCGCAAGCCCACTTCCCGGACACAGCCATGCTGGCTCACCGCGTGTCTCAGCCCTGCACCAAGGCAACCACAAAGCGGACCCAGAGCAGTTGGCCTTGGAAGGACGCGCGGCCTTGGATGACGTCTCCCTCGAGACCAGTTGCTCTCGAACTGGAAGAGGATTTCCCAGTGGTTGAGGCTTCTTCCATAGTCACATATTCTGAGCCAGATTAACATACTTGGGATTTTCTTCTGAGGACAGAAATCTTCCTATCAGTGCCAGGAAAAATCCCATAATTTCACAAAACACACACACAGTTGTATGGGAGGAAAAAAGTTCACCATCAAAACTTATCCTGAAACAGTTTTTTCCAGCTCACATGTAACTGCATAGATTTTTGCCTAGGAATCCGGGAAGGGTTATTCTTGGCTAATCGGCAGCAGTGGGGATTCTCTGGTTCGGGATTATCCCCTCACCACATGCTTTTCTGAGGAGAAAAAGAAAACCAAGAATCGGGCAGGAGGTGGAAAGCAAGCTGGAAAACAATGCAACATTTCTAACCCCACAAATCCAAAGCCATTCTACTGCAGTTCCTGTATGAAGAAGAGGAAGGGCAAAACCAAAAGAGACAGTGGGGTCCCCAAAGGCTCCTCCTTTTCTTCCACACATAAGACAGGGCTCACAGAGTTATAGCAGTAAATGGAGCAGCAAGTATGGAGTGGAGAGACATGGGCTAAAAGTTCTGCCCCAGCATGAAACTCTCTGGGTGCAAGTGGAAAGCGATCAGGGCAAAACCGCTTCTTCTCAGCCCAGTCCCCTTGCAAGGTTGTTTGGAAAATACAGTGAGGGAACCCCTTGACAGCTGATCTGGTCAAAATTCTTTGTGGCTGCCCTCAGAATTCCTGAAATGTTTTGTCTGAGATAGAACACAGAGATGTGACACACACACAAAAGTACACCATTTTAGTTCCTCTGAAGTTGAAACTTTCAGCACGGAACAGAGACAGCCTTAGGTCAAAATTGCCAATTTATAGAATGAAAGTTGGTGCACACACTTGCAAGACATTTCTCCATTTCAAGTTTGAACACTGACTCCATCCAGTCTGACGAAGGTCTGGAAAAAGATAACAGAGCTATGGTGCAGCTGATCCTCAAGCAGGCGCAATAAAACTATCGTGTGTGTTTCCAACCTGATGCTTTGTGTGAAATTCAAACCTGAGCTCAATTCTGCATCCTTTTTAAAGGACAGAATAAAAGAAGCAAAAAATAACTTGCCATGCAAAAGCCGAGGGAGCAGTGCCTGCATCAGGATTTGGAAATAACCCCCCCCATGGGGCCCCTCCCTCCATGGGCAGGTTTGCGCAACAAGCCCCGGGGGCTTCCTGCACAGGGTGGCTTGGACCCCCCCATGGCACCCAAGACTCACGAGGTGCTTAAGTCTTGGAAACGACAGTAAGGAACAACGGCCTGCTCTACAGTTTTCAAGCATCACCACCGTCTCTCTGATTTTCGGAACCCAGCGCCCTGGTTCCTCTGATTCACCACCACGGTGCTCCTCAGCAAGAGTGAGGAGGCTTGAAACCACACGAGCGCAGGAACGGCCTAATGATCTCTCAGACACATCCAGACAAAAAACCACTCACCACAGAAACCACGCGGGGTCGCCCACCGGGACGTGTGAATCCAGTCAATGAGTCCACCGTGGCGTCGCCACAGCCAGCAGCTGCCCTGACTCGGCTCATCTTTCTGATCAAGCCCGGCGGAGAAGCTGCGGCCTCGGCCACTCCTCCCTGACGCAGCTGCCTGGCCGGAGCAGGAGGACGGCCAGGTTGGGACAGGGATAGTCCCGGCAGTGGCCTCTCCTGGAAGGAGCCCTCAGCAAGTGCCCTGTCATGCTGACCTTGGCACCTGGACACGCGGGTTCCCAAAATAGCAACCAGAGAGCTAAGACTTCTCCTAGAGGTGCTCCTTTCCTTTTCTGCTTGGCTCGTTCTCCTGGAGCTCTGAACCAAGGGCTGATTTTAAATAGGACTGTGGACTGAAAGCCAACATACATGATACAAGACACTTGGGCCATCCAGCCCACTATCGCCAAGACTGGCCAGCAGTAGCAGCTCTTCTGGATTCCGGGGGGGGGGGGGGGGATTGCGCTGGGGGCCTCCTGCCTGTGCCTCCCTCTGTGCAACTGCCCCTCCTGCCCCTTGCTGCACACGTCAGCCGGGCTGAGGGAGGTGTCTGCTTTGTACAACATGCTTCTTGCGGGTGCTTCAGTACCTTGGAATGCAACGGTGCAACTTCCCAGACCTCGGGTTCTTCTGCACCAGCACAGGCATCCCGGCGTCCCGCTCAGCAGTGGAGGCCAGAAGGTTCCCAGGTGGAGACGGGGCCAACAAGGCAACCCTCAGCAGATCCTCCAAGCAACGCTCGGAGGCAGGAGCGGGGCGCTTACATGTGCTCCCCTACCTGATGTGAGAGGCCCTGCGGTCTCGGACACCTCCCCCGCCCCTCCAAGCACCACTTCCCCAAGTCCATCCGGAGCTGGCAACCCAACCGCTTCTGCACTCCCGCTATGCCGGAGCAACGAGCAAGCAAGCAAAACCCCGGACAAACCCAGACCGAAGAGCAATATTCTCTGCATGTGCCATTTAGCATTTGAAACCCGCGTCCACAGTTGCTCTGCCATGGCCCCGAGGATGGAACGGAGATTGCTCCTGCTTCCCTGATGCCAGACACATTTCTCAGGGATAATCTACCGCCTGCCCAGACCCTCCCATCGTCCTCCACAGTCCTTCTCCAGAAGCCACAACCAAAGGGAGTGAGGCATGAAGCTACCAAGAGCAGGGCCTTTTCTGCTGTGGCCCACAGGTGTGGAATGCGCTCCCAAGCCAGGACTGCCTGGTGCATAATCATGCTCTTTTTGGCACCAGGCAAAACCCTTTTTTTTATTTTCCCGGTGTTTCAGTTTTCCAGTTTCTGTTTTAACCTCAGTAACGTATTTGTAATATTTGCATGACTGATAGGTTCTGTTTGGATATGACTTTCCTTTTTATACCACAGTTTTAAACTATTATATTATATTTTATCCTTCTATATTTTATGGCTGTGACTGATACGAGTGACCCAGAAGGTCTCAAGTTCAGTCTCTCAGAACAGCATCCCCAAGCAAGGTCAACCAGACCACGCTCCGTCCTGCCTGCCCATGTTATTTCACCAGCAATGCGCCACCTATTCCCAAGCATATCTCCAAGGCCATGAGGACTAGAAACCTTATAGTGAATTTCTCCTAACAGCACCTGCTTGCAAGCAGAAGTCTTGTCTGCAAGCAGGACAGGGAGCGTGGCCAGCTGGTGCTTACAAACGGATGCCCGCTCATGCCACATCCCAGCTCCGCACCCATGTGCATGAAATGGGCCAGAGAAGCCCAGGACAGGGGGCTGGGAAAGCCCCTCCAACTGTCAGAGCCACAGAGGTATTTCAGGCACCCAGTGCTCTCACGGTCCTGTGCCCACCATACCGAATCCCATGCTCTGCACCCACACCAGGGTCCCCTCTGGCTCTCTTAGCACATGCTGTCTATTTCAGATGGAGCTTGGCAGTCCCGGGATTATTCATGGCAGTTATTTATATCTCATGTAGAATACTTTCCACCAGCCCAGCCCAGCCCAGCCCCACCACCCCCATTTCAGTTCACACCACGGGTAAAAGAGCACCCAGTTCAGAGCCTCCAAGATGCAGTTTAGCTCACCAGCCCAAGGTGCCACCCAGAGAAAGCCACCCTGGAGCAAAGCCTGCTCCCATCTTGCACAAGCAGTCACCTCTCTGGCCCTGCATGGAACATTTCAGCTGCATGTGGTTCCTCATCAACTCCCAAAATAGCAGCAGTTCTGCAGCACAGTAGAACACGGGCTCATGTAGAACCCCACCAACTTAGAGTCTGGGCTTTCATTTAAACACCAACCACAATAACCATGTTGCTAGTCCTCAGGTTTGTGAGGGGATGCCTAGGGGAATGTATAACCACTTTTTTGTCCCCAGGAGGCAAAAAAGCCACTGGAAAGATTCCTGGTGATCATTATAGCGTGCTCCATGACTAGCAATATTCCCATTAAGCAAAGTAAAAGAGTGCAGGTTGCCCTACTCGTCTGCATAATGCATACAGGTCCGCATAATTCAATTTTCTTGGCACAGACTTTCACTACTTTAAAAATGACAACAGCAAACAAAAGCAGACAAGTCTGCTCACAGTCCTCAGTTATGAACAGAATTCTACACTGCTCTCTTAACAACCCGGTGCATTTCCAAAAGCTCCCCATTTATCTGGAGTTCAACTTTTAAAACAAGTCTTCAGTGCCCTGGCATTCTTGTGAGATGACACCCATGGCCTGCATTTCTGAGAAGGGACAGAAAAAGGCAAAAGACAGCACAGAATAGCAATCATGGCAGTTCCAGCAACCCAGAAGGAAGAAGAGAGGAGGCAACCGAGAGATGCGGTGCGGGGGAGGGAGCTGTGTTGATAGCGGAGTCAGAAGAAAAAGGTCGCAGGTGGCTGCAGGGAAGAGGAGCTCCAGACGCTGTCTCCAGTCTGTCTCAGGTGGAGAAAAACAGGCATGACTAAGACTCTCCTTGCTGGGTCAGTCTAGGAGCTGATTCATGTGGGACTCTCCGAAGAAGCAGGAGACTTTCTATGCAGCCCATGCGCTGCCCACATGCAAGTCCTGTGCAAGCTGTGAGTGGTGCCATCATGCTGTTACAGCATCCGAAAAGCCCTGCTGGGAGGTCCTGGGGCCCAGCCAGGCCAGCCCTCCATCGCCCCACGGGGTCCGCCTACCCATGCCCTGGACCTGGGTGCAAGGCCTGACTTTTGGCCTAACAAAAACCAGAGGCTCGCAGCGCCAAAGCTGACGCATGGAACCTCGGGCCTGGGAACAAATTAGGCCTGCCAGGAGACCATGCCCCTTTCCCGGACCGACTACCTTCCCCACAGCAGCCCTTCCTCTGGTGCGCCTCTGCTTCTGTGCCATTCTCTGCTGCCCCTAAGAAGGCTGAATGCCCCCCATAAGGCTGTGCCACAGACAGGATGAGAGCTCCGCTCAAGGAGGCTGGGGTGCTTGGCCATTCCGGCCCTCCCACCTCTAGTGAGGCCTCCGGCAGCTCCCGCAGCGTGGAATTTGACTGGCATTCCGCAGGCTGAGAGACGTGCCCCTCTCTGGCTTGGAGTACCTTTCTGCCTAGATCAATTACCGAAACTGAGCATGCTTATCAAGTGTCCGCCACACGCCAACCCCCTCGGCAATCATCCTGGCCTATCCCCCAACGGGGCCTGGAACAAGCTGACCTACAACACCTTTAAATGCAAGACAAGGCAAGCAAGCAAACACGCAACATGCCTCCTGCAGCCGCACAAAGACAGGCTGCACAAGCACCTTGAAATCCACCCTTCTCAGTGGTGACGCATGTACAGCTTCCCAGACAGCTGGACAAGGAGGGTCCCATTCTGCCAGGCGATGTGCGAGGAATCTCTCTTTTGTTCTGCGAGTGTTTCCATCTTTCTTTGCAAGTGTCCTGCATAGTTCTTGGTCCCCGTGAAGAGGTGGAAGGAGTGACTAATGTTGCCGACCCTTTTCGTATGCAAAACAGATGGTGTTTTTCAGCTTCCTTCAGTCAAAGTGAGAAAAGCCACTGAATCACTATTTGAGCAACTGAGCATCATCATCCTGCTCATTGTTGTTGTTAGAGCAATGTTGCTATTTTACAAGCAAAACATTTACAGAGTCATGAGTACAAATAAACTCTATGAACATGGCTGCTCAGATACATCTAAGAGACTAAAAGATGCTGGGTAAAGCTATCCAAATGTTTCCAGCATTCCCAAAGACAATCCAGTGACTGCCTCCAAAGGTAGCATGTCTGTTACTGTCCAAACTACACCGTTGTGCAATAGAGATAAGAAGAGGCATCCAAAACTGCCCCGCCTTTTCTTTTGCGGCCTGTGTTCACGCAGGGGAGCAAATCCCATCGATTTAACGCTGAGGCAATATGCCACAATTTATTAGTGCGTTCCTGAATGGAAGAAAGAGTAGCTAAGCCCCACTTGGCAGCTATGACTAATTTTGCAGCTTCTAAAAGATTTCATGCCAGTTCTACGTGCCCATTTCTTACACCAGCATTAATATATTCTGGCAAGATACAGGCAGGAGTCACAGGTTTGCACTGCACTCACGGGCTGTAACTCTTTGCCAGTGCCACCCAAAATACATTTCATAGAATCAGAGTAGTAGAATGGGGAGGGGCCAGGGAGGCCACCGGGTCCACCCCCCTGCTCCTGCAGGGAACCAGGGCTCCCCATCCCACTCAGAGGGCTGCCCAGTTTCTCCTTGAATGTCTCTAGTGTGGGAGCGCCCCCACCTCTCCAGGCAGCTGGTTCCACAGCGGTATTGCACTGACAGTCGGGAAGCTTCCCCTGGTATCTAGCCTGAATCTGGGTTAAACTGAAAGGCCTTTTTAGAAATCACCATCTTGTACTAGCCCCAGAAAACAGGTTTCCCCTTTTTTCCTTTCCCGGTCACTTGCCTTCCCTTGTGTGGCTGGTCATTTTACTTGGCTAACCTGATGGGAGGGACTCTATAATTCTCCCTCCCTCTCCCTCTTTAGGAGATGAGATTGGCTGGAAGGTGGGATATGACATGCAGAATAAAGCAATGCGTTTCTCACAAGCCAGCTGGAGCAATAACTGCCTCCCTTTTCACACCATACTGTTACAGAGGCCAGTGAAGACATGGGCTGCAGTGGGTCAGAGAGCAAGAGAGGCTCTGGGGCCTCTCTTGGGGGGACCC